TGATAACGTTTAAACTGCAGCCTATGTATTGCGAGTAAACGTATTTCCTGCAGCCATATCGCGATGGTGCAGCCGGCGTGAAATTTCTATGTGAATCATCGTAATCACACGTGCTCACGAGCGTAGTAACAGCTCACACCCACCGCAGTTACTTGTTGGCACTGGGTAGTTTCATTTGGGTGCACTGAGTGGTTGTATTTGTTTGTGTTCAGCCGTACTTCTGTGTCTGCACAGGGTAGTTTCATTTGGTTGCACTGAGTGGTTGTATTTGTTTGTGCTCAGCCATACTTCTGTGTCTGCACAGGGTAGTTTCATTTGGTTGCACCGAGTGGTTGTATTTGTTTGTGCTCAGCCGTACTTCTGTGTCTGCACAGGGTATGGTGATGTGTATCCTACTACTGCGGGGGGTCGGCTGATTGGTGTCGCTTTGGCGTGGGTGGGTGTAGCGTTCTTCGCCATTCCTGCGGGTATTTTATCGTCGGCCTTTGCGTTGAAAGTGGAGATGGCGGGAGAGATCAAGGCCAGACAGGTGCGTAAGGAAGGATTTGCCGTAGACACCATCTCCACATGGTGGCACTTAAGGTCATTGCAGGCAAGGTGGGTGAGTCAGTGGGTGGGTGTGTTGAGTTTGGGCTGAGTTGGTAGAAGGGATTGAGTGCGTTCAGTTAGTTGGAGTGGCTGTCTATGCTGTGAGAGGATGTGTGGTGCTATGCTTCTGGAGGTATGCATGTGCATGTGCAAGTGATAGTTCTCATATGCATGCCTACGTACTCTGTGAGTGTGTGTGTTGGTCTGAGAATGTGCATGGTGGATATTTGTTCGTGCGTGTGGTATTTCATATGCAGTTCTACTGCATAGATGTACGTCAATGTATACTTCAACTACTGTATATGCTCATTTGCTCGTTTTAGGGTTTACAGTTCAAGTATCAAGCTACCCAGCATGAAAACTCTACCCTACTAAAGCCCTTGTGCGTTCTGTTACAGTGATGATACGAATGAAGATTCACGATTAGTCCTAACAAGTCATTGTACTGTAGCATATTGTAGCATACCGAAGTGCATGTGATTTATTTATATATGTGTTTTTACGCCAGGAGTGCATATGTTCGTTTCGCAATAAACCACACACAAAAAAAAGTACATTCATATGCCACCAATACGAGGCAATGCATGACTTCGTGATATTTTTTTTGTTCAACGGATTGGATTATGTTTTATGATGAGCTCATTTAACGTTTTATAACATAAGCACATGTACGTATGTCGGCTGTGCAACCATCGTGTATGCAGCCGTAATGGCACATGTAGTACCCGCCCTTGGCCTTCTTTCAGATGCGATTGCTGTAGTTGCTGCATTGACACATATCATGGTGAGATTGTCTGCCCCTCTGTTTGCTACAGGTCGCCACATACGATGGATGTGTTGAATAGTAAGGTCGTTACAATGCAGAAGCGCTTCTTCAACGACGTGAAGGCTGCGATGGCCAGTGCAGACAGCTTTGACGTTGCAAGAACAACACACACACAGGAGTACGGGAAGGTGAGTGTGTCGGCGCACTTTTGCATATATAATCGAAATACATTCGCCATTGCGAGAATCCATGAATCCGAACTTGGATGGATTGTATTGCTCACTATTCGTTTTCTGACTGTATTGTGGCTGAGTACTGTGCCTATATCTGTAGAACGCTCATATATCCTCAATGCTTATAGTTATGGAAGACATCTTGCCTCCGGCCGCCCAAGCTTCGACGATTTGTGCCTGTTCGCGTGTTTTAGTTATGGCTGAAGTATTGGTATAATTGCATACATCTACCCACAACAATATGTATGATATTGCAAAG